GGTGCAAACAATAGAGAAAGACATAACAAATCCAAACACTAGAATTGTTGTAACGCATGATAATAATGATATACCTGAAGAAGAGATTCTAGAGCGTCTTCCCGTAAAATCCCTACTTAGATTCAAATCTGTGTCGAGAGTCGAAACAATGGAAATCTATGATCGAATCTAGCTATCTCGCCAAGAAACCTCTTGCTCGATACCAAAATCCGAAACTCCTTGTTCTTCGATCGGAAACATCTAGAGATGAGAGTTCAACATCCATTTTTTTGGAGACCATTTCAAAAGCTCATCACGACCAGAGCAAAATCTTTATTTGTTCTTACAAATTTCCAGATCCACAAAGCGAATTTTATTTCGATCATGTTGGTCGAATAATGGGATATTGCAATGGTTTAGTCTGCATCTACCAATCTGAGACCATTTATATAATTAACCCTACGACGAGAAAACTCCGGATACTCTCTCCTGAGTTTTTGCGAGATTGTACAGACACCAAGTATGATACCTTCTCCTGATTTTTTGCATGTGTATTCTAATATTGATTCATATAAAAAGACTTAATTAATATTTTACAAAATTTTAAATAATCAAAAATATCCAAAAAAAACTTTGGTTTTGGAAGAGACATGGTTACAGGAACATACAAAGTAATCTTGCATGTATAACTTCCAACGTTTTGCTGGGAACACTCTTGTCAAGCCCCAAGTCTTTAACCTCAACAATGGAGAACGAAGATGCATATGTTGTCCCATTCGTTACGATCAACTTAGCAATGGTAAAACATCATCAATCTTGTAAATGGATTTCTTTTTTGGTTAACATATAAGAAGCTTGCAGCTGTGGATCTTCGCACAGAAAGCTTTCGTTATGTGTTGTTACCGAGTTGGTACATCAATATCTCCGAAAGTGTCAACTTGTGGAGTCTAAAAGATCGTTTATGTTTATCTGATGTGCTACAATGTCAATATCCGAGTGTGGACGTATGGAGTTTGCAGCAAGAAGATCCGAGTGTGAAGTGGGAAAAGATTCATTCAATTAAAATTTTAAGCATCGATAGTTTAGACGTAAACTTTTGGAAACTTGGTCTGGCGGCTTGTTCTGTAAGACCTGTTGGAGAAAAGCCATCTAAGAGTGGTTTAGAGGATGTCCCTGATAATCACTATAGAACCAGATTGTTTGAGGAGAACTTGGTTGGCTTCGGTCTAGTTTCGTGATCAATGCTTTGACATAAGAAAAAACAGGTTTCTTTATTTCATCAGTTAATGAATATGTGTTACTGGCTTAGGTTTCTTTACTTGTTACAGTCTTAATATTTACATGTGTTCCTTACCATGTATTATTGTATTGGGACGTCTTAAAAGTGTTGTAAAACCAATAATTCAAATAATTTCTTTTCACCAACCATTACCGTTTCAACTTTCAAGTTTGACAAAAGTAAGCCAGAAAATCAAACAAATCAACCCATTTCACTATAAGCCAAAAAAGAAGAACCTTTCTCAATGTGGTAGCAAAACCAAATCAGAAATGTGACATCAGATAGGGACTGTGTAAACCTATTTCTCCTACAGATTGTTCTCCATGGGTGTGAATGGAACGTCCCTGGGCTAAATAACCTATACGCAATAAATGTTTTTTTTTTTTGGTAAGTTACGCAATAAATGTTATCGTATGTAGTTTTTTGGCTCTCGGGAATTAATTAAAGTCCTGATTTTACGTACTGTTCTGGATTGAATCTCTAAAAAGATTAACTGGAATAGTGGAATTATTACTTTAGAAAAAACTTACACATGAAGTCAGTACTCTGGAAGGAAGGAAAATATGTATTAAGTTAAAGATACAGACGTGTTATTTGACAGTTGACACACAGAAAAAAAAAACTTTAAAAAATAACTAATGAAAGATACTTTTTTTTTTTTGAAAAAAAAAAAAAAAAAAAAAAAAAAAAAAACCGGATAATCAAAGGCCATTCATTAGTTATTTTTTAAAGTACTTGTTTCATACTTGTTTCATACTTACAAGGGTCATCTTTGCATGGCCCTAGCTAACCGGATAATCAAAGGCCATATATTACGGTTTAAATGTATATAATCTATACCAAACAAAATTTCAAACATGTGTTAAGTTAACCTTAGTCTTTTTGAAAAAACTCATTGAGATAATATAGTATGTTGATTTGAATTTTTGTACGATTTCCTTATAGGAAGATATATTTTGGATATATATTCTCTTATAATTGGTTTACTTTCATCGTATGAAGATTTATTCTCACATTTTTCGTTTCCTTTTTGTTGGCAAACGTTATTACTACTGTCTTTTTTTCCTCCGAGTTATTTATTATTGTATATTGACTCTTCCTTAGTTTTGAGAATTAATAGGTACGGCTGAAATAAATAGAGATATTACAGAATATTTCCCTGACTCGTCTATTGAAAGAAAGAGGAAAAGAATTACAACATACATCTATATATAAAGATACCTAGACACAAGACGAATTATTAACAGTTGCAAACAATGAAGAAAGACATATATAAGAAATCCAAACACTTGCGAAGTTGATTACGTTGAAGAGATTCTTGAGCGTCTTCCGGTGAAATCCCTCTTCCGATTCAAATCCGTGTCGAAGCAATGGAGATTAATGATCGAATCTAGCTATACCTCGCCAAGAAATGTCTTGTCCGACACCCAAATCCAAAACTCCTTGTTCTTCGATTGGAAATGTCTAGTGATCGTTGTTCAAGAACCCTATTTTTGGATTCTTATTCAAAAGATCATCACGACCACATAAAAATCTTTATTCATTCTTACACATCTCCAGTTCCATATCCCATATATTCTATTTATGATACAGTTGGTCAAATAATGGGGTATTGCAACGGAATAGTCTGCATCTACGATCTCGGTTACATTTATCTGATTAACCCTGCGACAAGAAAACTCCGGATTCTTTCTCCCGAGTTTTTGCGAGAGAATAGCCCTGACTGGTATGAAACATTTTTATTTATAATTTTAAGGGTTAGTTAAATATCTATGCCCAGACGATCCAAAAATTAAGTATCTATGCATAAAGATCACATAATTAAACCTCTCTCTTCCCTGACAGCATTTAAGACAAAAACACCCTTACAAAACAGAAAACTTGTTAACTGCCTATAACATAGGTACGACAGCATTAAATGCTAACGATATCTTTGAAAATATATCTCTGCCGACATTGGTAATATAAAGATACGGTAAAACACAATCATCAAACACCAAACATCAAACGAAATTTGTAAATAATCATCAAACACCGAACAACAAGTTTCGATTGATAACATTGTTAGTCGATAATACGACTAGCTGCTAACTAAAATAAGGCATATATTAACTTAAAACAGCTTTTAAAAACATTCATACAAACAACATTCACGTTTTGCTAACAGTAGTACCCCAATAAGACGTTAGTGGCTAACTATGACCATGTTATTACCTCAAAAATTATAACTATTCATCAAACCCAAGACAACAATGTCTCCATGTATTGATAACAATGTTAGGCGATAATTCGGCTATCTATTAACTATAATCAGACAAATTTTTACTTGAGACTTTTAAAACATTAATCAAAACAACATTTCTGTTTTGATAACAATAGTATCCCGATAATACGTTATCTGATAACTACGATAATGTTTTCACCTTGAAATTTGAAAATAATCATCCAACACCAAACAACAAGTTTCGATTGATAACATTGTTAGTCGATAATATGACTAGCTGCTAACTAAAATAAGGCAGATATTAAATAATCAGGCTGGTTTGTTCAGAAACTCCAACAGGCGACCGAGAGAAGACCGAGATATGTACTGCCGTTCATCATCGTCGAGGACATTGATGATACCACACACCGTTTTCATCTTCTAATAAACATTAACCCTCTCGCCGCGAGGTTCTTCACCAAAAGCTATCAGACGCGGAGAAAGCAGAATCGGCCTCATCTGTTATGGAAAAAATTGCATAAACCCTAGTGCAAAACATGTCGTTGAAACACAAATCAAACGAAAAAATGGCATATTGATTACCAGAAGACAAATCGAGATCAATAAAAACCCAGATCTGAGAAATAAACACTTGCTCGAGAATCAGAAGGAGATAAAGAAAATAAGAGAGAAAAAATTTTGTGGTGTCATTTCCTTTTTTCTACAGTCCCAAAACGCCGACTCTGTCTCTTCATATAGGAAGCAAAGAACACGACTGTTCGTTTCTCGCAAAAAAAAAAATATATAAACACAACTCCCAAAACAATATCTACACAATATCTCCTCCTGCCGTCTGACATAATTTCAACATATAATCTACGAAGTTTCTAATATCATAATATAGGGGTACATGCGTCTTTAAAAAGTGAACAGAAGCGAGAGAACAGTGCAACTTTACGAGACTCAATTATACATTCGTCTATGCATATCCATTGATATTTCTCTAATTTAATTTTATTGTAAATTGATAAATTACAAAATGTATAGTTGACTAGTTGTTATAGTTTAATTATATTCAACAATGTCTTTTATTTTTTCCTTAGGGTGGTCGAATGAATTGACATTTAGTGTGGGATTTGGAAGAGATATTGTTACAGGAACATACAAAGTAATATTGGTGTATTTATTCGATCGTAAGGTTGTCAAGACCGAAGCCTTAAACCTAGAAAATGGCGAACGAAGATACGTATGTTTCCCCATTTCTTACGATCGAATTGGCAATGATAAACGATCAATCTTTGCAAATGGATCGCTTTATTGGTTGCCAAAGCCAGATTCTCTTTTCACTAATCCTTTATCTTATAAATCACAAGTCACCTATCCAATAAAATTATGTCACATGGTTTTTTGTTTCTATTTTTAAAAAATCAATTAAAAAAACACAACAAAATAAATTACATGGCAGATATAAGTAACTACTTATTTATCCGCTATATATTAAAGAAACAAAATCCTAAATTTTCTCCACAATCTAAACCACGATCCCACGATCTTTGAAACCGTTTCGTTCATCTTCCTTTAAATTCATCTCTACTTGCATTCACAAATTCTAAATCCCTAAATTATATGCGACAATTCTCTATTACTCTCTCAGAATTTGTGATGGAATATTTTTTAACAATTTCTTTTTTGATGGAATCTTAATATCTAATGAGATAGTTCGAAGACCTGTGTATCAGAATACCTACACTTTTGAGTCTACGGCTTTTGATCAAGATTGGTATATCCTCTGGCTAAACTCTTCAATGCTCAAATCTTAATATGCATTGTATCAAATTTTCAATTCTACTAAGCTTTTGTTTTTTCTTTTGTTCTTCTATATGTCAGCAAAAGCTACATATGGCAAAAAGGTAAAAGTAAATAAAATACGTCAATCACACTTTCTAGGTGTCTTTTCTTGAACTGAATTAATTCTTGATTTGCTGGAACATGTTAATTTGTTATGGTGGTGATTTTGCAAAGAATGAGGGTAAGAGGCTCACCTTGAGGCTTGAAGCACAAGTACAAGACCATGAAGAAGCTTACAAGACACCATAAGAATAAGAGAAAAATATCGTGAAACCAGAAGGACCCCATGTTTAGATTGAGACCAAGGCTCAGGTTGGTCTTCCAATTTTTCTGTTCATAGAAATCCAGTAACATTATTTTTGTTTACTTTTGGTCAACATATTACATATTTTTTCCTCAATAGTTTTTCAAATTTGTAGCTTCTCAGATACAAAAATGTGGAATCAAGGGCATGGAAGATAGTATAAGAGTACGGGAAAGAAGACGAAGTATACATAAGAGAAGAAGGGAGAAAAGACTACAATTAAAGTTGGAGGAATCGTATGTCACTTTAAAAAGATGAATAAGTGACTTGATTACAATTTGAGAACAACAATGTGATGAGTAAAAATAGACTTCTTCGTCATTGTGTATATGATATGTATCTAATTGTTCGTTTCTTTATTCTTTTCCATGTTTTGCGTTTCAGTTTTATATTTGGTGGTTTTAAAAGCAAATGCAGATATCTTTAATTCGTCCTGTTAATCAGAATTTAATAGATAAAATGAACTTTCAATTAATATAAATTTAATTTAATTATATGTAAAGATATTGATAATATTGTTTTCATTTTATTTAATGTGTAAATAAATAAAAACTATGCCCGCGTAAGCGCGGGTGGTAATACTAGTAAACTAATAAAGCTGGCAGCAATAGATCTCCACACAGAAACATTTCGTTATGTGTCACTACCGACTTGGTACACCAAAGAATCCAAAAGTGTGTACTTGTGGAGTCTAAAAGATAGTTTATGTATATCTGATGTGCTACAAAATTCGAGTGTGGACGTATGGAGTTTGCAGCAAAAGTGTGTAAGTGGGCAAAGATTTTTTCAGTTAATATCTTAAGCACCAAGTGTTTAGACGCAAACTTTTGGAAGCTCAGTCTAGCTGCTTATTATTTTAGGTCGACAGGAAGAAATCCAGCTAATAATAATCCTTTAGATCAAGTCCCCGAAACTTTTGGAAGCTCAGTCTAGCTGCTTATTATTTTAGGTCGACAGGAAGAAATCCAGCTAATAATAATCCTTTAGATCAAGTCCCCGATGATCACTGCAGCACCGTTTTGTATACGGAGAGATTGGGTTCTTCGGTCTAGTTTCATGGTCAATGCTTTAAACAAATATGTTTCTCTATTTCTTCAATTGATGAATTTATATTGGTTTTGATTTCTTTACCTGTTAATTTGATATTTATCTCATCTTTAAACGACCATGCATGAATGTTTACCATGTGTTCCTTATCATGCACTCGAACGTTTTTTTAGACCAACTTTCAAATTTCTATGCGATCTAGAATTAATCTCTTTTAGTGGATCGATACGGTTGCAACAGCCACACAAACCAACAAATCAACCCATTTTAACTATAAGCCAAAAAAGAAGAACCTCTCTCAACGTGGAACCAAAACCAAATCAGCAATGAGACCAAAGGGACTAATAACCGTGTACACCTATTTCTCCTACAGATTGTTTTCCATGGGTGTGAAAGGAACGTCCCTGGGACTAAATAGCCTATACGCAATAAAACCCGAAAACACAAGAGAAATCATGGACAACAAAATGGCTGTAATGCTGGTTCCATCGCTAGAGCCCTTCACAGTTGAAGCGGTGAGACCCGAAGAAGAGCCCGGGGAGATATCTAGCGGTGTCCAATCGCAGTTGATCGTGTAGTGTCCTGATCCGTGCCACGGTTTGCTATCCATTGGGTACCAGAATGCAACCGACATTTTGGCAGGCGAGCCAAGCTTGAACTGAACATCCTGTAGATATCAATCTAGGACCTTAGCTTTATAAGAAGATGTTCTTTATACATAACTCATATTGAGCAGGTTCAGATCCATGGGATAGATTGTTGTTTCTACAAGTGTGACACATGTGGATTTGGTTTAAGATTAACTACTGATTCATAGTGGTAATCCATAGAGATTATGCTAACTTTTAGGGAAGGGCCAATGGTAACCGAACGTCATTGATTGAGTAGAAGATTTACTGACCTGTTGGAGACGGTCCATTGTCCTCAAGGGCCTTGAGAACTCAAAATAGTAAGTTCCTTTCTTGCCATCTGGCGTGTAAGGGCTGTCTTCCTCTACATAACCTGTTTAAAACTTCAAAGATAAGTAACCCGAGGAGATGCCTATGGCTATGATATGGTTATAAACACCGAGACTTAATTCCACATCTTGTTTTTTCCAGTTAAGAACATGATTAATATATCTCTGTATTGGGAACTCATGGAACTGATTATGAAGATATGTAAGACTGACCTGACAGAGTGGTAAAGCTGCTGTGCCACCATGCTCCATGCCAATCGTTCTGTGCGCTAGAATCATTTCCTGTAAAATGAATATTCATGGGATCACATATTTGTAATTTGCACACGAGAAATAGATCACTCTCGAGTAGCTAGCATCCAACTAGAATACAAACAATTTATATTTTATGGACGACTTATACATGGGGAAACACACTAGAGGAATTAAGAACCTACAAAATCTGGGCTTAAATAATTGAAGAGAAGTCAATTTCTAAGCTTCCATGAACCAAAGCAAAAGAAAAACGTAATTTATGCTCTTAGGTTGAAATTGGTTATTCCATAACATCGTCATAGGTTACCTGAGGGTCCAAGGCCATCAAGGTACCGACAATGTGGATTCCAGGCATAAATGTCAACCAGATGACCAAATCTGTACATATGAAAAACACACAGAGACATTCATAAACAAAATAAACAGAGGTACAAATAAGCCCCACTAGATAAACAGAGAAGGAGCTAAACGAGATTCACTATATTGGTACAACACCAGAACAAAGTATGAGAGAGATAGAACAAACTATTTGTACTACAAATCACCTGTCACCTCCATTTCCTTCCCTGTTGTCTATTGGATTACCACCGTAAAGCCTTCCTGGAATAGCATTTCCAATAGAGAAATGCATAATATCAACCTCGAAGCCTCTGCAAGCCTTGCTGGTACAAGAGTCTGTCCCTTCTTTACAACCACCCATCTTGTTTCATATAAAACATTCATGGATCTTAAATAAAATAGTTGAACAAATTACTCAAGCCAAATGAAAAACTTACATTGTGATAAGTAGCTTGATCACCAATTTGGAACATGAGAGCCACTGAAGGACACTTATTGTTTTCACTGGATTCAAAGAAGCAAGCAGTTCACTACAATAATGATAGACTTGCAATTTGAAGTTATGTAGAAATCAAGGATCATTTTAATATCATCTGAAGCAGTTAGTATAGATTTCAGGTAATGAATGCTCACCGACTCACCGGTTCTTGGATCATACAGAGGTCTAGAAAGGGATAACCAAATTATAAAAGACACACTTACCCTTTATCATAAGCGTAATTTCCATCAATTTCTAGCATAAAGTAGATATCTCGACCATCATGTAGTGCCTGCAAAGAGAGATCCACCAATCAAATGTTAAGAACGAAATCGAACTCAAAGTCCACAAAATCCAGATTTATCAATCGAATCAAAATGTCGCAATGAGTTCAGTATCACTAATCAGATGGTCAAACTCACCAAATAGAACTTGAAAAACTCAGAAATTGCATCAATATATATAATCTACAAGTAATGTCGGCAAACCAATAAGATAATGCAAATCCGATTCGAATCAACACATTACCTTGACTGTCATCTTTCCGGCGTCATACTCGTGATCGGCGTCCGGATCAAGTGCAGGTCGGAGAGGGAACTCGGAGCCGTCAATGTCCTTCCAGTCATCGTTGTGACCATCGAGAGTGATAATCCCCGGTCTGAAATCCGCTATGATCTGGATCTCCGAGTCCGATTCACAACTCCATTCGCCGGATTCCTGGTGAGACACGACCGTCTCCGCCGTGAAAATCAAGAGCCACGCTACAACCAGGAGCTGAAGCATTTTGATTTCTCTTCCGGAATTTGGTTTCCACAGTTGACTGGCGATTACTACATGACTCTTCAAACGGTAAGCAAATCACGACAGCTGTAATTAAAAAACAATTATTTTTAATTAAATATTATGTTTTAGTGGGCCTTATAAAGCCCATTAAGCCCTAACGAGACAAGAGAACCTTGTTAAAAACCAACGGAGAGATATTCAGATCGGAGTCATCATCGGTCCGATATTTTGGATCCGTGCTCCATTGACGAACAAACAACACTCTTCTTTTCCTAAGTTCCAACCATTTTATTAGCTCCTTCACCGGAGCTTCACATCGGGAACAATGGCGGCGAGTAGGAAGATTTGTCATTCTCTGATCGTCTTCCTCATAGCGATTTCTACAGTCTATGGTGTTTCCGCGGATTCGATAAAAGGCTGCGGTGGTTTTGTCGAGGTTTATCTTTTTTCTTTTTCTTTCCCGATTCGTTTTATCCATCGTTCTGATTGCTTCCTGATCGATTTTACTAGATAGTGTGTGTGTTTGCTTCTAAGTAGATTCAGTGTAGTTGGACCTGCTTAGTACTTCGACGCACTTCTATCTGAGATTTTGCAGTTTGGAGGATGTTTTGATTTTTGGAAATTATCATGGGTTAAGTAGCAGGAAGAACGATCGGATCTGGATTTATTAACTAACGCTGCTGAATTATTAAACGTGCAGGCGAGTTCGTCTTTGGTCAGCTCACGGAAAGGATCCGATGGGAAACTGGATTATTCTCATATCACGGTAAGAATTCAATTTGTTGACTCTGTTTTTTTTTCTATCTATCTTTCTGAGTGAAGTTTTATTGATTTGTTTGTTTGTTCCCCTTCAAATTACAAGGTTGAGCTTCAAACAGTAGATGGATTGGTAAAAGACAGTACACAGTGTGCCCCAAATGGTTACTATTTCATCCCAGTATATGACAAGGTATTCATCAAACCTTAATGATTTTTTTGTTTGGGTAAATCGGTGTTGCGTTTCTGCTGCAAGTGATTTCTATGCTTTCTTCTCATAGGGCTCATTCATTCTCAAGATAAATGGACCAGAGGGATGGTCATGGAATCCAGATAAGGTTAATCTGTTCTCCATTTTTTTTCTGAGGACTATGCATCAAGAATCTTTCTAGACAAAAAAAACACCCGGCTTGTAGCTAGTTATGACAATAAATTTGGTGTTGCAGGTCTCTGTCGTTGTTGACGACTCTAGTTGCAACAACAATGAGGATATTAACTTCCGCTTCACGGGGTTCGTTTTAGTCTATGTGTTTGCCTCTTCTTTTTTCACCTTTGTAATTGGTGGTTAGCTCATCTTTCTTCCTTTAAAAGTTTTCATCTTTTACTCTTTTGTATATTGCAGTTTTACATTATCCGGTAAAGTCCTTGGAGCTGTTGGTGGGGAGAGTTGTGTGATTAAGAATGGAGGTCCAGCTGATGTCAATGTTGAATTGTTGTCTTCTGATGGAGATCCCGTTGCTTCTGTTCTCACATCGTCAGATGGGAGCTACTTATTCAAGAATATTATTCCAGGTAAGGATTCTCATTAAGCTTTCATCATCAGTGTCTCTTTTTCTATTTTTCTATCACGTTGTTATTCTGGCCTTGCATGTATGTAGTCGGAAGTTTCCCATATTGTAACATCAAATGTCAAGTGCCTATTTTTTAGGTATCTTGTTATGATCAAATCACGAGTCTGTCTGATTGGTTGCAGGAAAATACAATATCCGTGCATCCCATCCAGAGCTGCAGGTTGAAGTTCGCGGTTCAATAGAGGTCTCAGATTTTTTTGGTTTTGCATTTAGTTTTCATGTTATCCTGTTGCTTGAATTTCTCCTGACCAACTTTTTTGCATTTGAGTACATATATCTTTCCCTACTCGTTTTTGTTCTCTATTGTATCCCTCTCTATATATATTTGGCTTGAATTATTTTAATTATGCATGCTAATAGTTAAAGTTCTCTGTTTACCTGTAGGTGGAACTTGGATTTGCAAATGGCATGGTGGATGACATATTCTTCGTCCGTGGTTATGATCTCAAGGGGTCTGTTGTTGCTCAGGTAATCCCTCTATTGCTCTGTTTATTTTTTCTTCTGATTTTCAAATCCTACTACATTCCTCTGCTTGCAAGAGTAAAATTTGGATATAATTGGAACTAGCGATTGGTGTATCATTGGTTTGATTCTGTTCCTGTCCATCATGCATGCACTTGTCTCTATCCTTAATTTTGAGTGTTTAATAAATACTATTTTGTTTCCTTTTGTAGGGAAATCCAATCCTGGGTGTTCATATATATTTGCATTCAGATGATGTTTCCATGGTAGATTGCCCCCAAGGATTTGGTGACGCTGCTGGAGAAAGGAAGCCTCTCTGCCATGCTGTATCCGATGCGGAAGGAATTTTCAGTTTCAAGTCCATCCCTTGTGGTAAATCATTTTTTACTTATCCATAATCATTTCATTGAGCATTCATTTTACCTTAAGCTTTAGCCTGATGTATTATGTATTGTACAACATAAGTTAAATGACTATTAAGTATGTTGAACTTCAAGAAGGACACTTGAAATTCTGGTTGCATAGTCCAGATCTTTATTTCTATTGACCTATTTTTTGGTCGCTTGATTTTTTCGTCCTCAGGAAAATACGAATTGGTGCCACATTATAAGGGTGAGAATACGGTCTTTGATGTTTCACCTCCTGTTATGCCTGTTTCTGTAGAGCATCAACATGTCACCGTTCCCCAAAAATTTCAGGTCAGATAGAATAACTGCAAACTCTTATACCACTCTGTATATTTCTATAATCGGACTCTGCTTACATGTGTCTTCCACTAAATATTGAACTGAATGCTCCTTTAGGTAACAGGATTCTCCATAGGGGGTCGTGTAGTTGACGGTAATTCAGTGGGAGTTGAGGGCGTTAAAATCTTAGTAGATGGTAGTCTAAGATCTGTCACGGACAAGGAAGGCTATTACAAGCTTGACCAGGTATACTTAAATACTATTTTCAATTTAAATTTTGTACACTATACCTTGTTCCTGTTGTAAGCCTGCTAAATTAGTTGTTACTCAACCTCTCCTAGTGAATTTTTGGTGCATGCTTCGAGGCTTTTAGAGTCTAGAGTAAAGAATATGGCTAGATTTCTGAAGGTTATGTACTAAGCAAAGCATATATATTATTATATATTTAAAATATGTTCCGACAAAAAAAAAATATATTTAAAATATGTGCCATCTGGTTTCATTCCACCACCCCTTTAATCTCATTTCTTGCTGCTGGGATCAATAGTTTAACAGCAGGGGATGTAACATAATAGTGGTTTAATTCCGTAGGTTACGTCAAATCAGTATACGATTGATGCAGTCAAGGAGCATTACAAGTTTGACAAACTGAAGAAGTTCATGGTATCGGTCTCACTTATTTTTTTTCTTGCGTGCTAAATTAATTGCTCCAGATATGGCTTCACCTCACTGAAGTTCAGCAAACTAAAGTAATCACTTAAACTTCTTTGTTTAGGTTTTACCAAATATGGCTTCACTACCAGACATCAGTGCTGTATCCTATGAGATCTGTGGTGTGGTGCGAATGTTTGGTTCTCGTCACAAAGCAAAGGTAAATTCTTGTTCATATGTTTCTCTGTTGTTACTTGTCTCTCATAGTCTCATGTTTAACGTTCTAATATTTTTAAATCATAGGTAGCTTTGACTCATGGACCCACAAATGTCAAACCACAAATGAAGCTAACAGATGAGACCGGAACTTTCTGCTTTGAGGTTTGTTGATGCAGAGATGTATCTCTTGTAAATCCAGTAGACAAAAGTCAGTTTTATCAAAGAAACCGAAAAGGCACTGATTATTTGGAGAGTTGGTTCTGGCTTATGTGGGACTTCGTTACTTTTCTGTTTATGGCTGAGTTCTCTGTTTCTTACTCTGTAACACATTCTTTTTCATTTATTTATTTTCTTTCCATCATATATATTCCAGGTTCCACCAGGCGAATATAGGCTGTCTGCTTTGGCTGCTACACCAAAGGGTGCTTCTGAGCTTCTGTTTTTGCCAGCTTATTTGGATGTTGCCGTTAAAAGCCCATTGTTGAACATAGAATTTTCTCAGGTGATTCACTCTGAATGACTCTATTCTCTTGGAAATGTTTTTGTAGCATTGTATATATAGGAGTTGGATAGCCAATATATTTCCACATGTTCAGGAAGTTTTCTTTCTTTTAATTTTTTTTTGGGTGTTGATGCAGGCCAGAGTCAATGTGCATGGTTCTGTTACTTGCAAGGAGAAATGTGGTCCGTCTGTGTCAGTGGTGCTTGTGGGAGCGGCTGGTGATCGTGACAAGAAGACAGTTGTTTTAACCGACGAGAGCAGTCAATTTCTATTTTCAGACATACTGCCTGGAAAATATAGAGTTGAGGTGGGCTGCATAGTTTCTTCTCAACCTTTTTTCTCCTCTTGTGTACTTCTGTAAGAGAGACCGAAAATTTCACATTACTTGCTAAATACATTTACTAATTGCTAGTCACGTTTGATTATATTAGGTGAAAAGCATTTCACCGGAAGCCGCATCTGATGAAGACAGTTGGTGCTGGGATCGTAGCTCCATTGATGTGAATGTCGGAACTGAGGATATCAAAGGGATTGAATTTGTCCAGAAAGGTTACTGGATTAATATTGTCTCCACCCATGAGGTGGACGCTAGAATCGCTCATCCTAATGGATCACCTACTAGTTTGAAAATCAAGGTATTCTTTGTCAGGTGGATTCTCCATGAGTTTTGGCTATTTAGGGTGCTATACTTTTACTCTATCAAAACTAACCATTTTCTTCATTTGTGGTAACTACAGAAAGGTTCGCAGAAAATATGCGTTGAGTCACCTGGAGGGCATGAGCTTCAGCTTTCTGACTCATGCATGTCCTTTGGGAGCAATTCAATAAAGATAGATGTCTCAAATCCACAGGTTTTATTTTGTAATGTTTTCTCTTTTGTTCCAGCATTCTTTGGCCTGTCCTTCTTAGCATCTCTATTCTTTTTGCAGCCTATTCATCTGAAAGCAGAGAAGTACCTCCTCAAAGGTCTGATAAATGTGGAGTCTAGTTCAACTATTGAGTCTGAATTGCCAGAGAATTTCATTGTTGATATTCAAGACAAGAAAGGAAATGTTATCAACAGTATTACTGCCAAACTTGCATCTGATGGAAGTGGGGTTTATGAGTACTATACCTGGGAAAATCTTGGTGAAAAGATTAGCTTTGTTCCTCGAGATTCTAGGTATGATCTTCTTTTATGATTTCAGGGAACTATGAACAAGACTTCTAATGTTTAGAGTTAGTTGTCTTAGGAATGTATCATAATTCATAGAAGAGAAATTTGTGTTTCAAAATCAAACACTCAAAAGAATATTATTGGAGCTATTATTCTTTTCAAGTTCCTCAGCTATGGCTGTATTCTGTTTCAGGGGTAATGTGGAGAAGAAGATGTTGTTTTATCCTAAAGAGCTTCATGTAAGTATTAACTAGAAGTATTGCTAGCCATAAAAGATCCTATAATGAGAACATCAAGCTTAATTTATGTTTATTCTAATAGGCTGTAGTGTCAAATGATGGATGCCAAGCTTCAGTTTCTCCATTTACTGGTCGGCTTGGTCTTTACATAGAAGGATCAGTCTCTCCTCCTCTTCCTGGTGTTCATATTAAGGTTTCCGCTGCAAAAGACAGCCTTATTTCTTCACTTAAGAAAGGTGAAGTAGCTATTGAAACAAGCACTTCACCAGCTGGTTCATTTGTTGCTGGGCCTTTGTATGATGATATACCATATGCCACCGAGGCTTCAAAGGTTGGTGTATATTATACTGATATATTTTTCATGTGCATGTAAATTGACCTTGAGATGATGTTTTTCTTCACTTGTCTAATCTTTAAGTTAGATCTCATCCTGGTTACACTAAAATTCTCACTTACATTCAAATAATGTGTTCCTAATCTTGGCTTACACATGCAGGCTGGCTACCATATTAAAAGGCTAGGACCATATTCCTTCTCTTGCCAGAAGCTTGGTCAGATCTCTGTGCGTGTAAACTCAAAGGACAATGCCGAGACATCAATACCTCCGCTGTTGTTATCATTAAGTGGCGATCATGGTTACAGAAATAATTCCATATCTGGCGCTGGTGGACTCTTTGTGTTTGATAGCTTATTCCCTGGAAATTTCTACTTGCGTCCCCTTCTTAAGGTAATTAATCCATACGCCCCTTGCATTCTTAGCAAATCATTGGGAACATTCTTCAGTGGCTTTCCCAAAACGTTAAAGTAGCTGATAAGTGATGAGAAATTGATGATGAATTTTCTGATTATTATCGTTTTCCTCAGGAATATTCTTTCAAACCCGCAACACTGGCTATAGAACTAAGTTCTGGGGAGTCCAGTGAAGCTGTCTTTGAGGCTACTCGTGTTGCCTACAGGTTTTGATCTTATTCTAAATCATCTTTTTCAAACTATTCGTTCCTGATTTTACTTTTGTCAAAATAATCTGTTGCCTTGATTAGATTCTGGCATAAATTGTTTCCTACTCCTAAAAATTTCTAGCTCGCTTCTTTAAGTATGATTGCACCAAGGCTCAGTTCTCCTGAAATAAAATTAGAGCAAAACACTTTCTTTGAAACGTGTGCGAATTCACCATGACCAGTTACATTGGTCATTTTGAGTTTCAATTGCTATCTCATAGATCTCCACTATCTGCTCTGATTTTGGATGTTTAGATTTTTGGTCCTAAACTACCATTTTACTTAACGTATATGGTAGGGCTTTAATCTTCTATATTTCTGTAACATTATACCTTGTCAATTCCTTTGCAGTGCAATGGGTAGAGTCGCTCTCCTATCGGGCCAGCCACAAGAAGGTGTTGCAATTGAAGCTCGCTCTGACTCCAAAGGATACTATGAGGAGACTACAAGTGATATTAATGGAAATTATCGACTGAGAGGGTTACATCCAGATGCAACATATGTAATTAAAGTGTCGAAGAAAATTGGTTCAGGCAACAATAAAATTGAACGTGCATCTCCAGAGTCAGTTTCTCTTCAGGTTTGTTTCTGTTTCTCCATATAATATTCATTCTCATCATCCACAATTTCAACAACAGAATGTACCTTACAATTGTCTTTTCTTATAGATTGGTTATGAAGATATCAATGGGCTCGACTTTTTGGTATTTGAACAACCAGAAACGACCATATTGACGTGCCATGTCGAAGGAAAACAAAACGAAGATCTAAACTCGAATCTGCTAGTGGAGATCAAATCAGCCATTGATAAATCTAAGATAGAGAATGTCTTTCCACTACCACTCTCCAACTTCTTCCAAGTAAAAGGCTTACCCAAAGGTAAGCACCTCGTGCAGCTTAAATCCAGTCGTCCTTTGATCTCCCACAAAGTAGAATCAGAGATTATTGAAGTTGATTTTGAGACAAATGCCCAAATCCATATCGGTCCACTTCGATACAGCATCGTGGCAGATCATCAGAGTCAGGTAAATATATAACTTACACAGTCTTCCACATTTTCAATAGACTTTGTACTTTTTTTTTTCTCTTTCTCATTGTGGTTTGATTTGTATCGGTTTCAGGAAGTGACACCTGCAGCTATATTGCCACTGGTTATTGGAGTTTCGGCAATTGCTCTGTTCCTCAGCATCCCCAGGTAAGAAATTTATTACCAAATTGTAACATTTGTAATTTGAAACATTTCCATAATTAGTAATCCACATGCTTATACAAAAAAGGTTGAAAGACATCTACCAATCCACGGTTGGGATTTCGTCTCCCGGGTTCACTACATCTGCCAAGAGAGAACCTCGAAAAGCTGTTGCTAGAAAGAAGACGTTCTGAAGAATTTATTCATCTTCAGTCTTTTTTTGTTTTGTTTTTTGTTATATAGTATCGTTAGAGGGAATTTATTCAAAACATTGCAGAACTCAGAAACTCCTCTAATCCATTTAAAGTTTAGAGAAACGCTCAATCTAGTCTTCTTTTTACCATTTTTTTTTATGTGAATTGTGTTAGAATCTTTTTCTCCATGACTATTTCCAAAAACTCTGTTATCAGTTTTGACCATTACTTTTTAGATTTAATTTTCAATGATAGAGTTGGTAATAAATTCAACTACGTCTGAGTTAAAAAAAAAAATGTTGCTTAAATTTTAAATTCAATTCTTAGTTATTTTTGTTCTATTAACTAAATTTTCAACAGATTTCCATTTATACTATATATGTTGTTTCTTATTTAGTTAACAACAAATATCATAACAGAAACAATTTATTAGGATAAATAATTTGATACCAAAAGGTTTTTCTAAGATTTTTTTTAGATGAAAATTTAAAACATTAATTTCAATTAAAAACTGTTAACAAATAACTCAAAGTAATTAATACTTAAAAGAAAATTATGTGAGAGCAAATTATTTAATCCTTATCTTTAACATTATCTTTTCTATTTTTTTCTTTGGTAGTATTAAAGATAAAGATTATAAATAGCTATTTATTATAATTTTACATAAATTAATGTTCTACTTTGTTTTCAAAGTCATTAATTTTCAATCTATAATAGTTGAAAAACTGATGATTAGATACATAATTTTTTTCTTTAGTATATATATTGATGATATAGAACTCTAAACTGGGAACTATCTAGTTGGAAAAGAATGGAGAAAGACAAAATTAATCCTGAGACTATCATTACACCAAATGATATTTTAGAAGAGATCCTTCAATATCTTCCAATGAAATCACTTGTTAAGTTCAAGGCCGTGTCGAAACAATGGAGATCGATGATCGAATCAACCTATTTATCCCACAAACGTCTCGTTCGATTGGGATTACAAACCCCGAACACAAAACTTCTTGTTGTTCATCAACTGTCATCAGATTCTGACTCGACAACTTTGGTTTTGAAAACTTTTTCTAGAGATCATGACAACAAAGGACAAATCTGTCTTTCTTCTTCGAGTTCTTACACTTTTCCTGATAATCCAATCAACCAATCTCGACACGAAACTATCCAAGTCTTGGGGTCTTGTGACGGATTGGTTTTGGTTGGGCCCTATGATTTTAAGTACATATACTTAATCAATCCAACGACGGGAGAGCATCGAACACTGTCTCCAGAATTGTTGCTGTGGCCCGGATATTTTAGTTACCATAGTCTTGTAAACAATCCAACGATGAATCGAACAGTTTTTCAGGCAGATATGTTGGAGCAACAAGGTACGTCGTTCTTTTTGTTCAATAAGTGATCATAGATTTGGATGTAATAATCACTAGATGATGATTCACGTTTTTGTCGACTGGTACAAGTGTACAACTAATTATTAAGTAAGTTTGTTATGTACAAAATTAATATTCATGTAATCATATATATGAAATGATAAATAAATTTATATAGAGACAGAATGTATAAAGGATATACGTAGATTTAATAATAAATGGTCAATGACATCAGACGTTTACAGATTAGTGTCAATAGATAGAATGATTATGACTAATTCTCAAGTTATATAATAATATAGTGGATATTTGACCATTTTTCTGATATATGTATTTTTGTTCATTTGAAGGTGGATTTTTGACCATAATGCCATTTTCGGTTGGATTTGGAAAAGACATTATTACAAAATCATACAAGGTGATTTTGATGTACTTGAAAAAAACCCATCCTCGTGGATATTTTGATCGTTTCAACATCAAAGCTATATCTCTTGATAATGGAAAGCAAAGAGACGCCGGTTGGTACGTTTTAGATGAGCACGAAATTTGCAATGAACAGACACCGGTTTACGCAAACGGATCACTCTTTTGGTGGACAAAATTTACTTATGCTTGGAGATATCAAACACTTTCAGAATTACCTTCACAGATATTAGCTATTGATCTACACACAGAAAAATTTCGATGGGTATCATTACCTAAATGTTACACCCGTTACTCTCGTGGTGTGCAAATGTGGAGCCTAAATGAACGTTTGTGCTTATCAGATGTGCTACACATACATTGTTCAGAATTAGACGTTTGGAGTTTACGACAAGAATTAGATTCTACTCAAAATTGGGAGAAACTATTTTCTTTTAATATTCTTAATATCGATCGATTAGATGCAAAATGTTGGATGCTTGGTCTAAGGGCTGCTTACTTTCGAAGGATTGGAGAGGACCAAAAACAAGTTTCGTTTGATAGTCTAAGAACGGTGATTTGGTATTCGCCGACTATGATTTCTCCATCAAATTTGCTGCTTTGATGTTGTTTCTACCTTCTATTGATTTTTAAAATATCAAAAGCTTTTAAGTTTTTAACATCACAGATACTAGTAGGAAGAAAAGCTAATTTTTTTGTCAAAGGAAAGAAAAGCTGTTGACTTAAGATAAAAAAGTAAATGTTTGTATTTAAAAAAGGTATATTGCAATTTCTATATATAATTGGAATTATGTGCTATTTTAAAAAATGCTTTAGTAATATATCTTAAATGTCTTGTTCGAAAAAGAAATAAAATAAAATAGCATAGTGTATCCCACATTCTCTGCTGAAGGAAAAAAAAACTAGCAGAACACTATGTAATTAAGGACATCAATATAGATTAAAAATTTAAAACTAAAGTGACAGAGCCAATTGTACAAAACTACAAATAGTATAAGAAGTGGGCGTCGTTGTGGTGTGTTGGGATGCACATGATCCAACGCTGAAGATTACACAATTCAAAAAGCATAATTATCTTGGTCATCTCGGTTAACTGCTGAACCGGTCAAAAAGAAAACACGCGAAAATGTATCTTGTCCAAACGACACGCAGATTAATTAATGTTTAAAGACTATCCACCTACAATAGCCGGTCATCAATTCAAGGCATATATTTAGCAAGAATCAATGTTTCATTCCTCACTCTATCTTTTCTCTAACCCTAAAATCTCTTTTATCTCTTTCTCTTTCTTTGGTTATGGAGAATATTGGTGTTGGGATGCCGTTTTACGATTTAGGGCAAACAAGGGTTTACTCACACTTCTCTGACTTCCACGATTTATCGGCGGAGAGGTATCCGGTAGGGTTCATGGATTTACTGGGTGTTCATCGTCATGCACTCACCCATTCGCCGTTGTCGTCGGAAAAGAAGAGAGATGACGAAGAAGAAGAAGAAGAAGAAGAAGATGGAGAAGAACATCAGCATAAGACAAATAAACGGTGAGTTTGAGATTGAGCTTTTGTTTTCGTTTTGCAAACAAAAGTTAGCATTTTTAAAAACTATGCTTGCTGAACTTGGGGATTATAGGTTTAAATTCACTAAGAGTATTGAGAAGACGAAGATGAAGGTGCCAAAAGTGTCATTCATCACGAAGAGTGAGGTTCTTCATCTAGATGATGGTTATAAGTGGAGAAAATACGGTCAAAAGCCTGTCAAAGACAGCCCTTTTCCAAGGTAACTAAGATTCATTTCCTTTGTCTTCTTTGGAAAAAATTCAACATTAATTATGAGATTTACAAATTTAAATTAATGGCTTGTTTTTTCCCCCTTGGCAAGGAATTATGACGTGAAGAAGAGAGTAGAGAGATCATTCAGTGATCCAAGCAGTGTAATCACCACTTACGAAGGTCAACATACTCATCCTCGTCCAGTACTCATCATGCCCAAAGACCGCAGCTCTCGATCCAGTGGCTCAGATTCTAGGTCCCACTTTGGCCACTTTGGCCTCCCTACACTCCCTCCTCAGCTTTTAGATTACAACAACCATCAACAACAACAACAAGGGCCGTCGCCGTCTTCTTTTGAAACCGAGTACATTAACAGGCAAGAAAAAGGAATTGATCGTGATGATGATGACGATCATGTTGTGAAGAAGAGTCGAACTCGGGATCTGTTGGATGGAGCTGGTTTAGTCAAAGATCATGGCCTTCTTCAGGATGTTGTTTCCTCTCATATCATTAAGGAAGAGTATTAGTTAATCGCATAATTATGTAGCTATCTAGGTTTATTTTTTCTAATTGTCATGAAAAATAGGATCTTTGCTTTGCAATCTTGAATGGATCAGGTAGATGTTGAAATTTTCCAAATCTTGTAATGATAGGGTGATCTTCAAGATGTCACATGTATTTGATCCTGATGAGTATTTTTTTCCGAACGAGAGGAATCATACTTGTTTAATTGAGATATATTCCTTTACTTTACAGTAACCCGTTTGATGCATCAAGGATCAAAACACTAATTAACCTTATTGAACCGTATCACATTTAGGTAGTTAAGTATTTTGTGTGTTTGCCTAATTAATCGAGTTTTAATGTCACTCGACTCACTCTAGTATATGGATCGTCGAAGTGATATCCAACCTCGAACAATGTACAATATTTTGAGAGCAATGATACGTTCTAGCTAGTCTAGGGTTTAATGTTTTTTTTTTTTCATATAGAGCCGAAGTCGGTAAACCTTGATTAATTTCTGATTGATTGTCCCTTCAACAGAGAAGCATAATTTAATGGGTTCAAAGGAACAGATGACTTTTTTTTCTTACAGAAATTAATTTCTGATTACTGAACATTTAATTTTAACAGATGGATTCAGAAGGGTATATTGATGTGGAAAAACCCAAACTAATTAATGTTATGTTACATAGTGTTATATATGCATGGATCGAAAAGGATATGGGATGGATCAGTATATATTTTATTAAGGAAAAAGATAACTTAAGCTCTTATGATTATTGTAAAAAGATAAGCACCAGTTGTATTTCATGATTACCCTGCTGCGTTGAAAATATATAATACACTGTCAAGTGTCAATGTCGCTTGCTATTTTAAACTTTAACGTTTTCTTTTTGGTTTTTATTTTATTCTTGTGGTTTCCTCTAAAACCCAAAAACGAAAATGAAGGAGTAAAACAAATTCAAATTCTAACCTAACCTCTAATAAATGATTTTTACTTTTAAGAAGAACAATGACGTGTGGACTATTATGATACTCTCATGTATATGTTTGTTAACATTAGAGATTCGTTCCGTCTTCAAGCTGTTTGGAAGCAGTATTAAACATAACGTTTGAATTGAGTCAAACCCTTATAAAGACCACACTATGTGAACAATTTATATTTATAGAAATGTTTGGATTCATCACCCTCTGTCCCAAATTTAATCTTGTCGATCGTATCACATGGTCTTTTGCTCCAAACTGCCACAAAAAAAAAAAAAAAGATTTGATCAAGTCATCAAATCTCGACATACTAGATTTAAATAATACAAGATTTTAATTTAATGTTTGTCGAGTGTTATAATTTTTTTTGAATCTAATCCAAAACAGAAGTATATATATACACTTCTTCTCGCAGTTAATAAAATTATTGTTGTCGTAAAGGTTTGAAGAGACAAATGGTTAAAATAAAACCTAAGGTAAACAAGTTATTAAATCGCTACATATCTTCTAAGATTGTAATTAATAAAATGTAATAATAAAAAATCTCAAATAGTTTGACCCAAAAAAAATCTCAATTAAAAATTTGAAGATTTTGTTATATAAAGTTACATGGATTTTATGTAAGCTGATAAATTGCAGTTTTAGGGGAACTTTTTAATTATATTAGATTTCTTAGCTATTTTGTATGGTGATTTTATAATATACTTATTTTTTTTTCTCTTTCTAGTTTCCTTATATTTAATTTCTTTATTTTTAATTTATTAGTATGATTTCTCTTCTTAGTTATCTGAGTTATTATTATTCTCTTTATCTTCTTCATTAAAATTTTATTATTGTCTATTTTTCTTTATCATTTTTTCCTACTGCCGAGAAAAAAACTTTTTTTTCCTAGTGGATTAGCATATATAGGAGAAAGATTGTTAGAAAGTTGCAATTGGCAAATTTTGTTGTCATACTAAAATTTTGTTGTCATACTAAAAGAAAAAATGCCATACTATGTCCGTCCTTGCCTCCCTCCACCGGAGAACATAAAATTTTCTGGTTGTGTAATATTCGGACTCGATACCGAGAAGACCAATGAAATCTTCAACAAAATTTTCATGGAAAACTACTCGGAGCAAGCGTTGAAAGAATTCAAGTCGAATCCAAGGCTACGAGTGAATGTGATGAAAACCATCATCGCATCTTTCAATTGTCAAATCCATCATGAGATCATTAAGGAGAAAATAGGTTTCGCGATATGGATGATCGGTGAATATTCATTATCGTTTTCAGATATCGAAAATGGATTATCTGTTATCAAACGAAGCATTGGAGAACTGCCTCTCCCTAATTCTTCTAAGGATGACCACGATGTTCAAACATGTCATTGGTTTGAAGAGTGTCGTCGAAGGCTACTCATCGATGGAGATGCGAAACTCCGAACTCAAATAGCTATCGCACTAACCAAACTAATCGATAAACAAAAAGTCTTTATTCATGATATTTCTGCAGGAAAACTCAGACAAGAACGAGCAGAAGCTGTTAGGTTAATAGCATCGTTGCAGTTGCTGCCTAAACCCATTAATTTGGGACGTGCGACTATTGCTTTTTACAGCGGAGAAATCAGGAGATGCATGAGATCTATATGCCATCAAGATATAGAGCTTAAGCAGTTATGCGTAAATGCGAGTGGTGAGAATTTGGTTAGCTTGCTTTCCAAGAAACTGCAAGAACAAAGAGATACGTGTGACCAAGCGTTGTATCAGTTGGTAAGCACCCTCAATCATCTATGATCTAACCTTTTTTTGTTATTAAAATATATATATAAAGCGATTTGGATTCTTAAATTTTCGTGACTATATTTATACATAGGAAGCAATCTTTTTCGGGTCCAAGAACGATGGTTGTGCATAAGGAGGCAGGCAATATATGAATGTGATTTTGTAAGTCCATACTAGGGGCGCCAATCGCGCCAATGTGTTATTTAAAATTGTCTATCTTATGTGTTATGCAACATTTGGTTTGAAGCTTGCGATATTAATTATTCGATTTCATTTTCTTTATGGTCACATAAGCGATTAATATTTTATATATGTTATTTACGCATCTTGGGGTAAATCGATAAAGTTTAAATATTATGGAATACTGCTACGCTTACCTACCTGACCATTCATGCAACAACTTACTCACATACCAATAACTAAGAGAATCGCTTGGGAAATAAGGGTGGCTCTGATAGATGATCTTGCTTGGGCCACTGAAGAAGAAGAATATTGAGGAATTGGGCTCAACAGTCGGCCTATGTTTCCGGTCGTTATGGTCACATAAGCGATTAATATTTTATATATGTTATTTACGCATCTTGGGGTAAATCGATAAATTTTAAATATTATTAAATTGAGTTAGTAATGTAATTTCACATGCTGTTGATTTGTAAAAGAAAGAATTATTGACAAAATAATATTTAAGAGTAAATTTGGAAAAATGCCTCCTTTATGAGTTTTTGTTTGAAAAATACCCATCCTTTTTTTTTAAAAACTATTTTTAATATATAAAATTATTAAAATATCCACACTAAAATTTACTTATAATTTTTAAAAAATTATACTTAAAACCGAAAAAACCTTTTTTTTGTCGACACCGAAAAAATCTATTAATTTTTTTAACTAAATTAATATTTGATGTAACTAACTAACAATTTTAAATATATATTTTTAAAACTATTTACGATGTTGTTGGAAATAAAACAAAAGAATATTCTTTACAAGGTCCTATATTATTACATATATATATATATATATAGCTAAAAGGAAACCTAAAGCCCTAATTGCAAATCTAGAGGGCGAAAACGATGGCAAAATGGGGAAATGAGGATTTAGTGAAAGATGAGATCCTCCAACACCTTCCTGTGAAATCTCTGATTCGATTCAAGTCGGTATCCAAACAATGGAGATCGATGATCGAATCTACCTATTTCGTTAGAAAACATTTGGTTTGTCCTTTCTCAAACCCGAAAATTGTTGTTGGATCAAGGACTCATGATGACGACAACTCGCTAACTATTCTTCTAGAGACTTTTTCAAGAGATCATCAAGGCGAAATCGACACACAAATCAGTCGTTCTCCTTGCTCTTACATTTTTCATGGTCCAAGAACAGTGGGTCCAACTATAACCATATGTAAAGTTATAGGGTCTTGTGACGGTTTGGTCTGCATCCAAGAGTTAAGGTATACTAATTATCATGTACAGAATTTGGTTGCCAAGCTATCAATCTTTGCATATGCAAGGATTACAAAAATTGGTTGTTTTTGATATTTTTTAGTGAATTTTATCTTCTTCTATTTTTTTTAACTTAGTGATAATAATTTCAATAAATCTAATTTTCTCAAAGTTTTCGTCAATCACTAATGTTATAGCCTAACTTTAGGAATCGGAAAAATTTAGAACCAAGTGTATACATAATCAACCCCGCGACAAGAGAGCACCGGAAACTTTATCCAACGCAGTTGCAACACGTTCCAGGTATGTGTTTAATTCGTCTCAAACTTGCAAATTTTATAGAATATTATGAAAGCAAATTTATATATACTTTAACAACAGAAAAAATATTGGTAATTTGAATAACATATATGTTTTTCTCTGTAGATTTTATGCCTCTATTGCTATTTTGCATTGGATTTGGGAAAGACATAGTAACAGGAACATACAAAACGATAAATATAAATTGCTACAAACGTCTCGATGAACATGCTATGCTTCTCAAGACCTCGGTTTTGAACCTCGACAATGGCAGCGAACAAAGACAGATTGGTGTTTTCCCTGTTTCCAACATGGAAATTTCTAATGAGCAAACATCAGTCTTTGCAAATGGATCCGTCTTTTGGTTGACACAACGTTATCACAAGTCATCATCAAAAACGCCTATTAAGTTAGTAGCGTTGGATCTTCACACTGAAACCTTTAGTAGAGTATCTTGGCCGAGTTGGTATGACGAACAACATAGTCACAAAATGAGATTATGTAGTTTGAAAGATCGTTTATGTCTATCGAACGTGCTACAATACCCGGATGTGGATGTATGGTCATTGAAGATGGAAGACTCAATTGAGAAATGGGAGTAGATCTTTTCCATTAATGTCACAAGTATTGGTCGGTTAGCTACAAAGTTTTGGATGATCGGTTTAGAAGCTGCAAAATTTAGGCCTAAAGAAGGAAATATTGATGTGGACCAAATCCCGTTCCATAGTTCGACAACCGCTTTGTATACCGATACCTTAGTTTCTCCTTATCAAGAGATCTAATTAAGTTTAATTCGATTTAATGTTGTTGCTTTTTCTTTTCGTTGATTACTCTAGATTAAAGATAAATGGCTTTTATATAAGTATAACATCGATCACATTAACAATATAAAGTCGTTTTTTTGTTTTTCCCTCTTCTTCTTCAATGTATGATACAACTATAATTAATAAAGAAGTCGTTTGAGATTTCAGAGCATGCATAAAAGTTTTGTAATGGTATATAACTCATTCTGATTACCATAGTTAAACGACAGCGTTTATGGATAAAAACGTGAAAACCTAAGAACCAAAAAACGACGACGTTTTCTTGAGGGTATATCCGTTATTTACAGAAATCGAAGGTTCAAAAGAAGAAATTAAAAATTGATTATTGGGAGCTGTCAATTTTCAGTTCACACAGGTACCGAACCCTAATAAGCTAATTGTCTCGTTTAGCATCTTCTTCTCGTTTTCAAGAATTTGGGTCGCCATTGATTCGCACCTCGCAAGGTAGGATAAACCCTAACTCTCAATTTCTAGGTTACAATCTTCCTCTTCTTCGCTCTCTTATTGGCTTTCTCGTTGGTTGCATTGAGCTATTTGTGACAATCTGTGATAATCGGCGAGTTTGGTAACAGGGTTATTCGAATTCTCTCACAAGTTTCGTTTATCTCTATGAAAGATGGCAACTTTTTTTTTGGTTTAATCGTATTATTGAGTTATGAAGAATTTCTCATAATTATGTTATCTGTCTTCTGGAAAAATGTGGCGTCTTTCTTCTAAATTCACAGTTTTTTTCTCCTTGTTCTAATTCTTAGTGATAGAGTCTTCAAATTTGATACTTTTATGGATGAATGAACTCTCGATTGAATCATTGTCTTTCTGGAAAACTGAAATTGAAAGTTGTGTTTATTTGTAGATGGAGAGCACTAGATCGGACCCAGAGCTTGATGATGACTTTAGTGAAATCTACAAGGAGTATACTGGTCCTGCAAGTACTGTGACCAACAACACTATCCAAGACAAAGACAAACCTATCAAACAACGTTCTGAAGAAAGATGTGATGAAGAAGAGCAACTACCTGACCCCAATTCTGTACCAACTGATTTCACTAGCCGAGAAGCTAAGGTTTGGGAGGCTAAATCCAAAGCTACTGAGAGGAATTGGAAGAAGAGAAAAGAAGAAGAAATGATCTGTAAAATATGTGGCGAGTCTGGTCATTTTACTCAGGTAATCATTTCTTTTTGCAAACTCCTTTATAGTTTATACATCATTTGTGTGTCTTTCTGATTGCTGCATCATTACTCTTTGTTCCATATGTTAGGGATGTCCATCTACACTTGGTGCCAACAGGAAGTCTCAAGAATTCTTTGAAAGGGTACCAGCTAGGGACAATAATGTGAGAGTTTTGTTTACTGAGCAAGTTATAGAAAGTATTGAAAGGGAGACCGGCTGCAAGATTAAAATGGATGAGAAGTTCATAATTGTTAGTGGCAAGGACAGATTAATCTTGAGGAAAGGTGTTGATGCTGTTCACAAGGTTAAGGAGGATGGTGAGATGAAAAGTTCTTCTGTTTCCCACAGGAGCAGATCGAGGTCACCTAGGCGAACTTCTGTTGGTCCACCACGTGCTCGAAACTCTGAACCTCAAAGGCAGCACCCTCCATCACATGGTTCATCAAGTTTCCCAGAGCGCTCTGGAAGGCAAGATAAGTTTGTGGATAATCGTGTGCGCGAAGAGAATCGTATACGTGAGAATCAGCGAAATGTTTCCCGAGGATCACCACAAGGTAGGGACAGGATAGGATACCTTAGAGACCTGGTTATTTTCTCTTTTAGTCTTGTCTTTAAGGAAGTTGATTGGTCGTTTTCCGGCTTTTTTTGGCCGATAATGTCCTTTCTTTATCTTTATTTTGCAGCCAAAGGTAAGTCCTTTTGTTCAAGCATTTTGTACAGTACTGAAGTAAATAAATTGTTTACTGAACTTTTGCTCGATCTTCTCTGAATGAAATTGAGATCACGTATCTTACTGTAGCTGTAACCTTTCGTTCAGTCTCGTGGTCAGGCAGTTAACATTATTATTCATTTTATGAAGCTTATGGTAGTGACAGAGCTCGGAGTCGTTCCACACATTCGAAATCTCCAGGGAGACCACGTTATAGTGGATGGGATAAACCGTATGATAGGCAAAAGTCTGAGGTGAGTGGTTATAGGTCTGAAAGATGGGATCAGGAGAGAATGGGTGGCTCCAGCGATATTCAGGTGAGACATCAGTTTGAACGCCCTCCTTTCCCACAGACTTTAGAAGAACTAGAATTGGAATATACGAGGGATGCAATGGAGCTTGAAAAAAAGTGCGATAAAGAAGAAGATGAGGAGAAAATTAAGCATCGTGAGGTAAGTGACCCAGTGACTGAATGTGTTCCTCTTAGATTCAAACCGAGTATAGGCTGGATTGAATTCTGTCACCTAAGAAATCACAATTCCTATTAGTTTCAACTATGAAAGTTTCATGCTTTTTACATTGCTCATTGCTCATAGTATTAGATGGCAGCGGATCTCTCCAAATGTAATTTAGTCCCCAGTCTCCTAGTGAAATGCAATTCCTTTTGAGGAACTTCAGCTTCTGACATCAATTTGTGCGAGTTTGTAGACAATCCGGGAACTGAGAGAGAGTTACATGAAGAAACTGGCTGGGCTAAGGGGTATGAATGCTAAACAATGGGATGAATTCCTTCAACTGGATGCTCAGAGACGTCAACAGCAAGCACGGCAGCAAAACTCTGGCCTGAATTATGGTAACTATAGACAGTTTCCTCCTTATGCTGAGTTTGATGATGGCTACTCTTCAAATCCTCCTCCCTATGGTGGAAACAATGTGCCAATGGATTCCAAGAGAAGATATCCAAATCATGGAGATAACTATTCTTCAAGGCATCAAGACAACAATTATGGTGGGTTCCAACGCCAGAGACGTGAGGACTATGGAAAAGCCTACAATCGTTATTAGACCATCGTAGTCAGATCGTGTTTGGTAAGTTGCTACTCCCCTGTTTGAAGACAGAAGTAATATGCTGTTATGGTTAACTGAAGCTAATTGTTCTTGGTTTTGTTGAGTGTGAATTAGAAGGTTTAGATTGCTTGTTATTTTTGTAACCTAAAAGCTTTCTGAAAATTTCAGGATTGTGCTGGAACTGGATTAACGACCAACAAGTGCAAACAATGCGCAACCGAGGTTTGTTTCTTACTGTGAAGCCATTCTCATATCTGGACATATGTTGAATCACCTTGCAACAAGTACATGTAACTGCCAGATATCTGGTCCTTCTTTGGGTTTGTTGTATACATTTTAAGAATTTCTTTCTTAAGAGTAGTTATAAAACCATTTCCGTTGTAATCATAGTTCTGGCTTTAAACAGAAGATTTGTTTCAGTTTAGCCATTATCGCATTTTGAAGACTTGATGGAATGGTTTTTCTGTGGCCATGAAAAACTTATTCAGGAAGATAATATATAACGTTACGATATTACTAATGCCTCATGAATCTTAAAGGTCCAAACAGCTATAATTAAGTACATGCATTTAACTTTTGGCTCTTCGGTTTCCTCTCCAAATGCTGTGGCTTTTGAAATTCCCTTTTACCTATAAAGATGCAAGTACCTTGAGCACTTGGATTCATCATGTACGCTCATTATTCCAGTATAATATGAATTCGATTGTAGACATTGGAAGCGCTCGCGTCAATTCCTTCATAGCTAATAAAGACAACGGCTTCAGCGTTCGCGGTATTCTGGAGACATTCTTGGATAATGAGGGGAACATGACGAAAATTATTGGTCTTCACACTGAGCGGGCGCAGAAAGTAGGCCAACAGAGTAAAACAACCTTGCTCCAGCTCTGCGATGGAGACCATTGCCTAATTGTTCAACTTCCTGTTGGTGGAAATCTTCCTTCCGGTCTCCTCAATTTTCTCAACCTGCCTTATATCACATTCGTTGGAATTGGCATCAACAAGACTCTGATGAATCTCGAGAGCGAGTTTGGGTTGACCTGCAACAATGCTGTTGAGATCGGACCCTCGTCGTGGGACCTTTTAAACAAGACTGAGGAGAAATGCCGTATTGTCCGTCAGTTTGTCTCTTTTAGCAGCAATCCTTTTTGTACCCTCTCCCCGTTTGTCTCTTTTAAGTATCAAACAAGTGCCGTCTTCGAGGATTGGGGCTCCTACAGACTTAGCCAGAAGCAGATCAATCTTGCAACCGCCAATGCTTACTTTGCTTTCAAAATTGGGAACGTGCTCATGGCTGAGTATTGATTGAGTCAAGACGTCTGGTTGTGTTTCTTTGTTTGCTTTGTTTTGTTAAGTACTTGGATAATAATAATAATGGAAGCTGGTTTTATGTTTGCATTTTAGTGGTCGACTACATGGACGAATCTCTTGAGCCACAAACAATTATTTTGTGTACATAAAAAGTTACAGTATCTTCGTTTAAATTGAAACTGGCCTTGACACCATTCGTAAATTTCTGGGTGGCCACATATTAAGATGTAGCCTTTAATTCATTATTCAGCATCTCCACTCTTCCATCTTACAGTATATGGAGAGAAAGATAAAAGTTAGTCGTCATAATATCTCTTATAATGCTCGTTGGAAATGTTTAAGTTGTTGATGACACTAACAAATTATTAACGCCTCGTAAATCTGTAAGGTTGAGAAAACTCATATAAATCCATTTTAACTTTAACTCATATAAGACTTTTGCAATTCCCTTACGTCTATATAAAGATAACGTATCTACCATTTTTTTCTCCTATACTAACAGAGATTGTAAAAATTATTTGGGGTTCACATGTGTTATCAACGTGTTAGGATCCTCATTTAATTAGTTACTTAAAACTTATGAGGTCACTTTGATATAAAGTAAATGATACGAGGCATAACTCTTATAGAAAAAATAGTATTTGGGTACACTTAGTAATTTCTAATTCAATGAGGAGATGTATTAGATTATTTCTATATAAATAGATCCCCAGAACAACACTAACCAAAAAATAAGGAAACTCTCTACATCTCACCACCAGAAACCTAAAGCAACTTAGGGTTTGCTTTGGAATTGGAAGACCTAATCCTAAATCCAGATCACAAGGTATGGATTCATCAGGTATGCTTCCGTTTTCATTATTAATCATTAGAAGATTTATGGTTTATGGAATCATATATTTTTCAGAGATGTCTTCATCAATTGTGGACACTGGAATAGCTCGCATCAAAACGATAGTAACTGATAAAGATAGCGACATCAAACTTGCTGTGGAGACATTCTTGTCCAACAAGAAGAACACGAAGAAAATCATAGGCCTTGAAACAGAACGGGTTCAAAAAGCAAGAAAGCAATTCAAAACCGTATTGCTCCAGCTGTGCGATGGAGATCATTGCCTAATAGTAAAACTTCCTTGTGAGGAATCTGTCAATCTTCCTGTCTCTCTCTTCAATTTTCTCAACCTACCTCAATTCACGTTCGTTGGATTTGACATCAAGAAGACTCTGGTGAAGCTTGAGAGTGAATGGGGTTTGACATGCAAGAACTCTGTTGAGATCAATCCCACCACATGGAACCTACCCGACATGACGAACGTTGGGAGACGTATGATGCATACTTGTGTTTTTTCTCAGAGACCGACAAGCCCTATCTTTGAAGAGTGGGACCAATGTGTTCTTACCAAGGACCAGATTAAGCTCGCAACCTCAAATGCTTATTTCGCTTTTGGAATTGGAGGCGTTATGTTGGGCCGTTTTGAGGATTTTTTTTTTAGTTCCTTCTTTTTTTTTTTTTTTTTGTTGTTGTTCAGTCTTTTAATTAAGGAGGGGTTATTGGATCATTGATTTGAATAGAATTAGAAATCCCTATCACATTTGGAAATTCACACATAATCCACTGATTTTAAAATCAAATAATGTGGATTTGAAAATCAAATAAAGTTGATTTTAGAGTCAAATAAAATGGATTTGAAAATCATAGAAAAGAGATTATAAAATTAAAACATGAAATTTTTTATGATAAACAAAATAACCTATCATGTTCTCATCTATGAACTCTGAATTGAATCACTCCACATGTTTGATGTTCTTGTTTCTCTCCACTGATTGTTCTCTCCACACATATGAGAAGATATCAAAAAGTCCATAATTAGGAATAAAACAGTTCGTTACGATGCGGTTAAAGTGATTCACCAATTAGGGATGAAAGAAATCTTTGTTAGTATGTCTACTAATGAACGTCATGGTTGGATTAAGCTAGCGTAACATTATGGAATGTTAGATTAATTATTTTTTTGTTTTCTAGTATTGTTGGTTTTCTAGAATTTTTTCTCTAGTTTTGTTTGGTTTCGAAAACCTTCCTTTGTTTTCTAGTATTTTTGATTTTTATTATATGATAAAATATACTTTTATATGAAGGTGTTTCATGATCATTTGTATTAACAGTTTTTTTTTGTGATCGATATGCTTGAAAGTATTATACGAATATGTTTCGTGATTTTTGTATTAGCAGTTTTTTTTTTCTTTTTGATATTCAAAACATTATGGAAAATAAAAACTACTAATATATATATTTTTTTTCAAATCCACTCAAATAACTAGGTGGAACCCAATGATTTCAATCTCTCTATTTATAACTAAAACAGATTTTCAAATCCATTCAAATCCAATATGAAATCAAATCCATACTCAAATCTTCAATATTGAATAAGGGGTGATTTTAACTAGTATTTGTAAATCATAGAACCAATAACACATGATTTTTATAAAGATTTTAAAATCAATGATTGAATAACACATGATTTTAGTTAGATTTCCAATTCCATTCAAATCAATGATCCAATAAACCCCCCTAAGTATTGCGGAAGTTTGCATATCAAGTTATCAATGGTCAGGGACGATCTTATTATACCTACCTAAATCTTGTAGGCCACAAACAAAGTATAATATTTGGAAAAGTTTTGGATTAATTAGTAATTTTGTCGCTTTCCTTGTCGCAACATTCCAAATGAATATACGGGCTTTTACACCGCCCAAGTGTAAAAGGCGATAATTCGGTACATTCGGATATTGGGCCAGGCCTGACAATTTTTACATATTACAAAGCCTACTAGCCCACATAACTAACACTTGGCTCCTTTTCCAAATATTTAGAGGGGGCTAAAGAATATCTTGTTAAGATTTGGGGTCAAATTGAAAATTCTAATTAAACATAAGCCGCCTCTCTCTCTTCTCCTAAATCACGCAGCCGAACCCTAGCTTTCATAAATTTTCATTCATTCATCGTTCTTCTGCTTTTGCTTCTTCCAAAGGCCTAGCCTTGTGCTTCCTCGTTCTATCTCTCTTGCTTCCGTAATTCGTTCGTAAGAGACTCTCGTGATGGGTACGGAGAGAAAGAGGAAAATTAGTCTGTTCGATGTTATGGACGATCCGTCTGCTGCGGCGAAGAACACCAAAATCAGTGGTCTTGCCGACGGCGGAATCAACAGTCTCATCAATAAATGGAACGGGAAGCCTTATTCACAGAGATATTATGACATTCTGGAGAAACGGAGGACTCTCCCTGTATGGCTGCAGAAAGAGGAGTTTCTCAAAACTTTGAACAGCAATCAAACTCTAATTCTGGTTGGTGAGACCGGTAGTGGTAAAACCACTCAGGTAAAGTTTTCATCTTTTCTATTCCGATACTTCGAATTTGATATATAAGCTTAGGAATAATTTATATCGAGGAGGGTTTTGGTTGATTTAATCGGAGATGATGTTTTGAGGCTAATACTGAATTTTGTTTATTTGTACAGATTCCACAGTTTGTGATAGATGCTGTGGATGCTGAAACATCGGATAAGCGTAGGAAGTGGTTGGTTGGATGCACACAGCCTCGTAGAGTTGCCGCCATGTCTGTGTCCCGTCGTGTTGCTGAAGAGATGGATGTAACTATTGGGGAAGAAGTTGGTTACAGCATCCGTTTCGAGGATTGCAGTAGCCCCAGAACGGTTCTTAAGTAAGCATTGTCTCTCTTTTAGCTTCTCATCTTTATAATTTATGTACTTGTGGACTTGTATCTAATCATGTGTTACTCACTATGACCAGGTACTTGACTGATGGTATGCTCCTGAGAGAAGCAATGGCGGACCCGCTTCTAGAGAGATACAAAGTGATTATTCTCGATGAGGCCCACGAGAGGACTCTAGCCACAGATGTGCTGTTTGGTCTTCTGAAAGAAGTGTTGAAAAATAGACCTGATCTTAAGTTAGTTGTGATGAGTGCAACTCTAGAAGCTGAAAAGTTTCAGGATTATTTTAGCGGTGCTCCTCTGATGAAAGTTCCTGGTAGGCTTCATCCTGTTGAGATCTTTTACACTCAGGAGCCTGAGAGGGACTATCTTGAGGCTGCTATTAGGACTGTTGTCCAGATTCACATGTGTGAGCCACCTGGTGATATTCTTGTTTTCTTAACTGGAGAAGAGGAGATCGAAGATGCATGCCGCAAAATCAATAAAGAGGTTGGTAATCTCGGAGATCAAGTGGGGCCTATTAAAGTTGTGCCATTGTATTCTACTCTTCCACCTGCGATGCAGCAGAAGATATTTGATCCTGCTCCAGAGCCGGTAACAGAAGGTGGTCCTCCTGGGAGAAAAATTGTTGTCTCAACTAACATTGCTGAGACTTCTCTAACCATAGATGGGATTGTCTACGTCATTGATCCTGGTTTTGCTAAGCAAAAAGTCTACAACCCTCGAATCCGTGTTGAGTCTTTGTTGGTCTCCCCAATTTCAAAGGCAAGTGCTCACCAGAGATCTGGTCGTGCCGGTAGAACACGCCCTGGAAAATGTTTCAGGCTTTATACAGAAAAGAGTTTTAATAATGACTTGCAGCCGCAGACGTATCCTGAAATATTGAGATCAAACCTTGCAAACACAGTTTTGACCTTGAAAAAACTTGGAATTGATGACTTGGTGCACTTTGATTTTATGGATCCCCCTGCTCCGGAAACACTGATGCGAGCCTTAGAAGTTTTGAATTACTTGGGAGCATTGGATGATGAAGGTAACTTGACAAAGACAGGTGAGATCATGAGTGAGTTCCCCTTGGATCCACAGATGGCAAAGATGCTCATAGTCAGTCCTGAATTCAACTGCTCAAACGAGATTCTCTCAGTTTCAGCCATGCTCTCAGGTCCGCCCTTTACTTTTATCTTTTTGTTCTTGCTACCTTTGGTTAGGTATGTAGTTAAGGGTAGGCTTAAACTTGCTACAAGTTTTCATTCTGCATCTAGTCTAATGTGCATTAGAACTCATCTTTTATCGTTCATGTGTATAATTGTCATTTAAAATGAAGTATTAGAGTTAGGTTGTCATCAGCTGTCACTAGTGTGGGTTCTGCATACCCATGGTTAGGGGGTGTCCTAAGTAAGTGCTGATGCAAATAGTTGCAGTTTCTCAGTTATTCTCTCTCATGAAGCAAATGGTATCAGTCTCATCGCCTCTATGCATCTGCTGACCTCTTCCATGGACCTCTTCTGTTATAATTACCAATTCTTTCTCTAGTACCGAATTGCTTTATTCGGCCTAGAGAGGCTCAAAAAGCAGCAGATGAAGCTAAAGCTAGGTTTGGACACATTGATGGAGATCACCTCACATTGTTGAATGTCTACCACGCTTTCAAGCAACACAGTAAGTGATTATCAATTTCTCTTCCTCTTTGGGTTATAGTTACTTTAGACAAATAAAATGACTGTAACTAACTTGGTCAATGTGAATTCTCGCAGATGAAGATCCAAATTGGTGCTATGAAAACTTCATCAACAATAGAGCGATGAAATCTGCAGACAATGTTAGACAGCAGCTAGTTCGGATAATGTCAAGATTCAACCTGAAGATGTGCAGCACTGATTTTAACAGCCGCGATTACTACATCAACATAAGGAAGGCCATGCTTGCAGGTTATTTCATGCAAGTGGCTCACTTAGAACGTACTGGCCATTACTTGACCGTCAAAGACAACCAAGTATGTGAAAGCATATTCAGTTTATGTTGTTTCCATTGAAATAATGTTTCTCTTTGTACTAATCTGATGGTTACATTCTTGTTTTGCAGGTGGTTCATTTGCATCCATCCAATTGCTTGGATCACAAACCGGAGTGGGTAATCTACAATGAATATGTTTTGACTAGTCGGAATTTCATAAGAACTGTGACAGACATTCGTGGTGAATGGTAAGTTCTTGCATTTCCTGTTCTTGTTTTCTTTGGTTATTATCTCTCAGAGGTTTTCTTTTCTGAAAAAATCTCTCTTTTGTTTGCCATGTGGATTCACAGGCTAGTAGATGTTGCTTCTCATTATTACGATCTTTCGAACTTTCCCAACTGCGAAGCCAAACGTGTCATCGAGAAGCTTTATAAGAAGAGAGAAAGGGAGAAGGAAGAGAGCAAGAAGAACCGGAAGTGAAGGAGAATCATGTTCTCACATGTCAACATCTGATTCTACCTGGACAAGAAGACCAATCCTTAAAGCCTGTCTCATATTATAGTTACCTCTTTGACCAAAAGATTCTAGCAGTTTTCGTTTTTGTAGGTGTTGTGATGAAACAAATATTTGCATGTGACCCACCCAAATGGTTGTTCTTTTAAGAGCTTTGAAGATTCCTGTTATTGAGTTCTCCTTTCCCGACTATCTCTAATGATATGGTTCTGAGTTATGACAATTAGCAATAACAATTTTGAAAAGTTACATATCTGATTAAAAAATCTGAAAGAAAAAAGAGGTTCGAGACACAGGCTCACAGAGACATTACTTAATGTAATTAGTCAAAAGTTAATATTTTCTACCAACTTACAGAGAACTCAAT